AGTAGTAGTAGTAGTAGAAGTAGGAGCAGGAGTAGTAGCAGGAGTAGGAGTAGGAGTAGTAGTAGTAGTAGTAGTAGTAGGAGTAGGAGTAGGAGTAGGAGTAGGAGTAGGAGTAGGAGTAGTAGTAGTAGTAGTAGTAGTAGAAGAAGAACTACTACCACCCCTTGTACTTGTTACCAGTATCTTGCCAATACTGAAACAGAACTACCATTACTCCTGATGGGGCTGCTAGCACTATCACTGCTACTGCTGCTGTTACCGCTACTGCTACTGCTACTACTTGTATGCTACAAATATTGCTTTGTATACACTGTGGCTCACTGCATGGTGACACCAAGCAAAAATCAAGTGAAAAGCCCAGCAGCCTCGATCTCAGTTGCGCGGGAAATTCGGGTGGCAAGCTGCGCAAGTCCCTGCTGCAAAGTGACCAAGTTTTCCGCGCGCAACCACCATACAATTCTTCTGTCCTTGCACTTGGCGTGTAAAAGCTCAAGGACCAGTTGGCTCTTGCCGACCCCTGCCAGTCCCGAGGTCGCCACCAGGCATAGGAACCCAGGCTCTCTCAATCGAGCTTCAAGATCATCCATCAAAGCCTTCCGCCCAACAAAACACTTGTTTCTGGCGGGTAGATTCCAAATTTTGGCTTCCCATGGATCCGAATTGCTGCAGAGAAGCTGCGGCCGTTGCAGGCCACTAGATCGTCTTTGGACAGACTGGGTTATCTTAGCAAAGCCCTCCGATGTGATGTTGAACTCTACCTGGCTGTTAAGAAAACCGACAAACTCCTTGGTGAACAATCCGTTACCTCCTGTTTCACGGGCCACTTGGCCACCTCCACATGCGAACATGACGTAGAAGTTGCCTCTGCGAGGAAACGAAACCGCAGTTGGCAGCGGCTGGAAAGCAGGTGTGCGGCAGCAATCCAGGATGGCGACGATCTTTGTCTTCGGTGCCGTTTGGGGCGACAGGCAATCATAGAGGCGCCTTAAGCTGTTGTTTAGTGTGTGTTCGTCATCGGCGTACTGGGGATTACTGTCAACGCAAAGAAGTGCGTTCTGGCCTCCAGTTTCGATGGCATGGCCAGCAAAATAAAGCAGCAAGACTTCACAGCGCTGGCTGCGCAGCTCATGAGCTAACTCACAGAAAGCCCGATCCAACTCTTTCCACGTGCAATCCAGGTAATCCAAAGTGTAGAAGCCTTTGTCCTGCAAAGCTTTGGCCACCAGCTGCACATCAGCGACTGTGCAGAGCAGCGGAGAGTAATGGCGATATGATTGGACACCAACTAGCAAGGCCACCAGATTCTTCGAGCTGAGCGTGTTGCAGGCAGCCCGGGTTGCAAGAGCCCTTCGCTGGCGCGAGCGGAAAAAAGCAAAACTCACGACCGTTAAGGCTGCGAGGGTGATCGCAGTTGCTGACACAGCCTTGCGACTGTGGTTGGTCCACATCATAAGCATTCCAACCACAGCATGCTGTCAACACGGCAGCTTGCAGAGAGTCTATGGGATGTTGTCCGTACTAACTGTGGTGCCGTACCACCGTGGACTTCCTGGTTCCAACGAACCCGGGCCAATGCGCTTGCTAAGCAGGATTTCCTGGCTGGCCATGTCATCACCTTCTCCTGCACGTTGTTAGATCTGAGTTTGCTCATGCTGATGACAAATGTTTGGCCGTGGGCAGGTTGTTCGACTGTCTTGCACGATCTCTGACCGTCTGTGAGCAAAGACGTAAAAGACCCCGGCAGGTTCATGTGGAATCCGGGAGCTGGCAAAGAGAAGAGTGTGGACTTACAGTCTTGCAGACATGCTTTTGAGTATACATGCAACATCTGACCTCCTGGAGAGCGGCTGCTGCACATTGACTTTTCTGCACTGTGCGACCCTTCAGCATGGAAAAATGGTTGCCATGATTGGTTCTATGATTGTTTCGATGACTACTACGACCAGACTTATCAGTCATGCATAAACTGGGAAAACGACGATGGCTTTGGTAGGCTCCCCCAAACAGGGCTTAGGGGAAGCTCAGCACTTCAAAGGATACTCAGGATCCCTTGTGTAAACGTTTCTTGGAACTTCTCTAACTAATTGCCACTGATCGGCATAACGAGCAGTCTTAGCGCAAAAAGTGCGTGCGTGGATGTCGAAGCTATGCATCTGCAGCAAACCCAGAGACTTTCTAGGCAATACACGGATTGCTAGCAATATTCGGTCCGATGCCCTCGAACTAGATTTGACGACCACTCAAACAAGGGTTGTAGGGATCCCTCAAGTGGGATGAACTGGGAAACCTAATCTTCGTGCTAAGCCTTATGGCTATAGCGACAACAACAACAGCAGACTAGCCCTAACCAGAATAGCAAGAATAACAGTCACTATGATACCAGTCATAGTAGAACAACAAGAACTGGAAGAAAAAGCAATCATACTAGGAAGAAGGTGTGAATTTGGAGCTTGCATAGCGATCCGCCACTCCCAAGTCCGGAGCAGAATGAAGCTGAAGAAGTTGCAGGAGACCAAAACTGTCATGACAAGAAAGAACGGTGCTTGCAGTGGTGGTGGTGGTGGTGGTGGCGGTGCTGCTGCTGCTGTTGCCGTAGTAGTTGTAGTGCTCGACTACCTGTCAGAGAACCCGACCACATTCTGGGGCTCAAGGAATCCTAAACCCTGCGTCGAAACCGCATGAACTCTGCTCATCATATGAACACAGGAGGTTGGGACAGGATTCGGGGGACTTCCTTTGATGTTTTGCAGGGACCTCTGGCCTAGAGTTCAGGGCTGGAATTTGAGGTTTTTGGTCTTGAGCTTACGGTTTATGGCTTTGAGTTTAGGGTTTTGGGTTTCGGGCTTGTGAGGTTTCAGAGTTAAGGCTGAAGGGTTTGGGGATCTGGGTTTAGAGTCGGCTCCTTTCTTCTCGCATTCTGCGCTCAGCCCATCTTCAACGAACCTACAGCACAGGCCCTAAATCCAGTTCTAAATCCCAAATCCTGAGCACTCTATGCTGGCTTCCTCATCCCAAACCCTAATCCGCTAGTCTAAACAGCTCCCCGACGCAGGGGAGCCATGATCTTAAGCTTCTTGTTGTCCATAAATCCTAGGCCTAAGCTTCAGGATCTAAGGTAAACGACCTAACATAGGGGCCTGAATCATTGGAATAGGGTTTTGGGGCCCATTATACCATAGTTATAGTAAGGAACCTCCAAAACAGTAGTGGTAACAATCTAGCCCCTACATTAAGAGCCCTAGGGTTGTGGGACATCAGAAAACCCAACACGGCCTTGAATGACTGGTTCTTAGTAGGGAATGGGGGAATGGGATTTTGGGACTACTATAAGGGGACCTTAAGGCACTATCAAAGGGATCCATTCCCCCATTCCCTACTAAGAACCAGGGAGATAAACCCTAAACCCTGTAAAGGAACCCTTAAAGGAACCCCTAAAAGGACCCTTAAAAGAACCCCTAAAAGGACCCTTAAAGGAACCCCTAAAAGGATGACGCTCAGGAGTGACCCAGCTCGCGCTGCAGAAGCTGAGTGAGATGCTTCTCCATCTCAGCGCGGCGTTTTCGTAGCTCCGGAGGTTTTTCAGAGGAACCACCAAAATCGCTTAGGAGTTTAGGCTTAAGGGTTTAGGGTTCCTTGAAGGATTTCCTTTTGAAATGAGGGCCATATAAGAGTTTAGGCTTTAGGGCTTTAGTGGGCACTACGTCGGAGATCAGACTGAGGAGTTGTGAGCTTGGGGAGGTTGGTTGGAGCCGGCGGTGTGAGTTTCCCGTGTTGGTGAAGCTTCTTGGCGGGGACGCTACAGGACTGGTGATTTAGTATAGGATTTTCAATGATAGAGCTATTAGACAATTAAGCATCCCCTTTTTTACGCGCTATAATGATAAGCATGATCCATTCTGCAAAGCCCCAGACAGAGCATTCAGGTAGACGGTTCAATTTCAAGGTACTCCACGGAAAATCGGAGCTTTATGACAGAACCCTGAGAACCTCACACCCTCAGACAACAAGCGCACCTTGCTGAATAATGGGTCGCAGTTTAAGGGACGTCCATAACCCTAAACCCTAAACCCCCAAGACAAGGCACCCTTCAATTCCCACCCTAGAATAGGGCTTAGGGCTGAGCTGTCTTGTTTTGAAAGCTTCGAGAAAACACCCGCCGCGTCTAACCAAGCAGCATCGAGCTGCGACTCCTCGGTAGAGCTGTGGTTGGCCGGCCTGGAGGAGGGAGAAAGCTGGGCTTTTTCGGTTCGGTTTAGACTTCGGGGATGTTTGGGGTCCTGGGTATGTGGCTTCAGGCGTCAGAGTGGCCTGGTGGTCTTGGGTTAGAAGTTTAGAAATCTTTTCGGTGTCAGGTTCAGGGGTTGAGGGTGTAAGTAATATGAAGAGGGTGTCGGAGTACGCCAGACTACGATGATGCACAGAGCTTTCGAATGGAGGATTTCAAGCTGCTGGTGGAGATGATGGGTCCTACCCGGGGGACACATCCCAACTCAGACTGCTCACATCGATAAGCAATGGCATTCCACAGGCTGTACAACATTAAACAAATCTACACCACCCTGCAGCTAATACAGCTTTGATGTCGTGTATACAATTGTGCCTTAAGTTAGGATCTAGGAACCCCTTAAGGACAACGTTTGTCTTACGCCGGGCAAATGGACCCTTGGGGCGAACCGGCTTCTAGGACACAACAGTCCTTTGTGGGACGGGTTTTGCAAACCCTCACCCGAACCTGCAAAACCTAACAATCAATCCTTAACCGGAACCCCTGAAGACCCATCCAAACCCTGAAATGAAACACACTGACGGTCGTTTTTCGACTTTCGGATTTCCGGGGTTGAAGGCTCAAGGTGTTTGTAGTTTGGTGTTTTAGGGCTTTAGCATGTTAGTTTTGCTTGCAGGGTCTGAAAGTCAGTGTCCTTAGCCTTTTTTGGGCGGGGGCTAGGCTTTACGGTTTTGGGGTTTGGGCGTTCTTACGTGCCCAGGCACGCCCCCATCGCAGCTGATGGCTCCGCAGGTGCACTTGTGACCTGTTGGCTTCTCACTGAGAATTCGAGTTTGTCGGTTTCAGGCTCCTCTAAGGGGACCCTCTATTTAAAGAACCCTGTACGTAGTACGCTTTCAGGGGATCCTTCAAAGGGTTCTTGTTTGAGGCTTGCAGGTTGAAAGCTTCGCTGCGCTTGAGGAAACTGGGCTTCAAATGATATGTAAGCTCATGACACTCAAAAGGGCGTCGGTCTTCGTCGCCGTTGTGGTTTCGTTGTTGTACTCATCTGCTTCTTCTTGAAAAATCTACTGGAAACTGATGATGAGTGTTGCTAGTGCTGTCGCATTGTCGTTCTTGCTCTTGTTATCGATTGACAGTAGCAATACCAAAAGGAGGTTTCTGGGCTGCGTGGATTGCAAGCATCCTTGATGAATCCCGTGACTGAGAAAGTAGGTATGGGCAGGATTATCTTTAATCACCGGTAGCCATATGCTATGCGCCACGCATGCCCTTGCTACGCAGTAATTCCCCGACCCTCGTAGTAAACCCGTTGCCCAAGCTCCCGGCTACCCATAACCCTAAGTCCTTAATCTACGGAGCAGAACAAGCACAATGCCTCGCATTTACCAAACACAGAAATGCGGGGTGACTGAAGTTCGAGACGTACCTTGTTTAAGGTTCCCTATATGATGCTCCTATCCAGAGTTCCACTATCCCATCCTTTTATCCGAAAAAACCCCTGGCATCCGAACCCCTCAGCTCATGGGATTGCTGTGCCCCTAAACCCTAAACACCTCACTAAACCCTAAACCCCCAAACCCCCAAACCCCTAAACCCTAAACCCCTAAATCCCCAAACCCTAATCCCCCTCTGGCGAACCAACACCGATCAAAGCCCAATCCTCGGGTGTTGAAAGATCCTGACTCTCTCGGCCTTTTTTGTGGGAGGTGTGTACTATTTGCCATGTGCCTAGTTCTCTAAACTGGGGT